TTTATGTTCTATGTTTAATTTTATATATGTATACATTGATTTTTTTTTTGACATATTTGGTTATCTATAGATATGTGGTTTTTTTGTTCATTCATTACACTTTGTACATTAAGGATATTATATCGATCTCGATAAGTTAAAGTTTGGACCAGTTGAAAATAGACGTGTACAGATCACCTTCACATAATTTTCATGCTACACATTTCATGATGAATCCATGTCATTTGATTATGTTAGGATGAGTAATCATTGTTGGTTTTAATTGTGATAATGCAATGAAAAACTGGTTTGGTTCTATATCCTGATATGATTAATGGACAGGACTTTTGGAATATGCTAAAGGAATATAATGACAATTTTGAGCTCATAAAGTCTAACACATTTGTAAGGTTGTAAAAACATATATATTTGTGACCAGTGGGAGATTGTTGGCAAATTTTGGGTCATGTATATATATGATACATATTTAAATGTGTTAGGGTCATTATTTATTAAGCCAAATAATAAAGTGATCTGAATAAATTAAAGTTTTGGCTAAAGGCATATGTCATGAAAATATGATTGTGTAGAGACCATAGAGTAATTTTTAATTTGATGAGGGCCAAATTGAAAATACTAAAACTTAAGTAATTAACCTAATTTTGGTTATATAAAGGGTCATGGTCCCCTCTCGAAAGCACACGGACAAAACACGATGAATAGCTCCGTTCTTTTCTTTCTATCCCCATCGAGAGAGAAAATCAAGAGGGAAATACAGGTGCTCTTCAGGTGGAAGACCATAAGATCAACTCAAAAGCGCTCTACAAAGGATATCGTCATTATGACCAATTTAGGTACGCTTTCGCATTTAGTTTATAACATGTTTACAGTATGAAATTATTGATATATGATTGATCATTAGAATGAAGATCATATTTAATTACAGTTTAAACTAACAATATACATCGCTATGCGGTTTGGAGTTGCAAAGGATTGTCTCACTTCTCAAATGGACAAAAAAAAAACATATTTATGTTTTTAGTTTTTTAGTACCTAAATTTTGTTCCCTTCATCTTCTTCTTTACCAATGTTAAGTTTAATTTAGCTTCAACTTTTTTATGGCTGGTCATATTCAGATCTTCAGTAAACCACAAGTGAAATGGAAAAATGTTGGTGGCAATGACCATACAAGTAAAATTATAAATATTTATTTTTATAAGATTATTCATCTTTATGGACAATTTGATTATGTTTTCAAGTTTGCATTCAACTATAACAAAAGAAAATAATTATAACTCAATAGGTGCAAATAGTTTAATACAAACTGAGTTTGCTTTAAAAGGGTTATAAGCTTTAAGAACAATGCTCAGAATTAAAATTAGTTCCATAATTAACGTTCATTCAAAGGTTTGGAAATGTCAATTTCATCTTCTTCTCTACGATTTCCTGTGAGAACATTCTAGGACAACAACCATCGAATGTGACTTGTGTTCTTTATGATCCACATACAATATTTGTTCAATTTTCTACCTCCAGATTGTGTTTTACAAATCATCATTGTCACATTTTTTGGTACACATGTCAGAATGTTTGTGTCATTAGTTGAGTTTTTTTATTTTTTTATTTTTTTATGTGATTTGAAATGAAGAAATAGATCCTGTGTTTTATCTTAACCAAACTTTGATGGCCAGAAATCAATAAAATATCTATACACAGTCATTTATATATATATATATATATATATATATATATATATATATATATATATATATATAATATTTTTTATTTTATCACTTTTCAATTCTTAAAATATTTATAATAAAATATCAGTTCAAAATAAGTTAATTTTAATGTTACATTCTTTATTTATAGATTTTTTTCAGATAATAAAATATATATGATTTTATGTAATTTAATATCTTAATAACATAAAATTATAGATTATTTATTATGTTATTACTGAATTAAATTGATATAAATGTCAAAATCTAATAGATTCAATTTTATCTCACTTTTATAATTCTCCTATAATTATTTAATAAAAAATAGTTTGCAAATTATTTTTTATCCACGTTCACATTTATTTCAGTATAAAGTTAATTCTTCATTTACAACAATAATTATATAAGTTTATGTTTAAACCTTACTCTGATACAGTAGTGGGTTCCAGTAAGATACAGTTCTTAGTTCTAGTTATCTACCCAATCTTCTACTTTTTAAAATTTTTCTTTTATCTTTAACTACTACTTTTAAATAAGATTAATTATTTGATATAATATATATATATATATATTATTAAAGATGATTTTATTTTATTAATAATTTTTAATTGAGGTGTAAAAAAAGTCAATCATGTTATTATATATTATATTATAAATTTTTGAATTTAATTCGATTATTTTTTATTTAGTAAAAACTTCTAAAATTCAGCTCGACTGTTACATATTAATGGATTAGTGGAATGATCCATTTAAATATGTATGTGTATTTTTTTAATTATATTTTATCTTTTAAATTATTAAAATAAATAGATCTTATCTTTTAAATTATTAAAATAAATAGGTTAGATAAATTGATCGAATAAAATATTTTTTCTTCATACATACAATATATGAATAAAAAATATTAAAAATTAAAAAAAATAATTAATCCACTTTCATCTAATTAAACTCATTTAATCTATAAATTAAAAAAATCGAACTCGTTTTAATCCATTATTAAAACCACCGTCATTAAACATTGTTGAAGCATTTGTGGGATTAGTGAACCTTCTCTAAAGTTTTGGCGAGAGTTTTTCAGCGCCATCAATTTTTTTCTTTTTCATGAAACTTCAAATAACCCACATTTTTGGGATTTGCATGATATAGTTGTGTCATTACCAAAACACACCACATATCTTCACTATTTCTCTTGGACACAACAACAAGTGATGTGACATTTCATTTCACTTAAGTGAACATTTTTCTTCACATCTTTTGGACGAATTTAATAATTTTTGTTATTTTGCCTGCTTCCAACCTTTCTATCAAATTCCCAGACTATGTCAATTATTAATAGATTGAAAAAAAAATCATTTAAGATAAAATCACCAAACACATTTTAAAAATATTTCAAATATATGATATTTTAATTTCAAGTTTAAAGGTAAAAATTTTACAATCTATTTAATGCAAGTGGTCAATGTGAAAAAAGATACGACAATAAATGTAACATAAAAAGAAAGAAAATTATCCATGTATTCATTTTGTAGAGATTTATAATTTTAAAAATATAATTTTTCTTCTTATATATAAATTAATGTAAAATATATCAAATTAAATAAAAATAAATTTCTTTAAAGAATTTTTCACATGCTTAAAATTTCCAAATTGAAAGTTATAGAGGTTATAGATGAGGTTAAATAAAATCCAACTACCCACTGATTTTTTTGTGTTTTTATAATTTCATCAAACTTTGACTATCAAGTGAAAATAATTATTTAATGGAGGCTGCTTCATTATTCAAAGGAATGACAAAGTCATGCCCAATCTATTCATCACACTTTATCAAAATATTATGCTTTGTGCTTCCAACTCAATAAAAGGTAAATTAAAAACATTCAAAGATAAAAATAAAATAAAATAATATAAGATTAGCGACTGGTTTTATAAATATCGTTTTATTAAAAATAAATAAAAGCGTTGAGATTTGGGTAACTTATTATAATTTTGATTGTATAACTCATAAACTAAGTATTAATTTTATTAAAATCAAGTACACTGTTTTAAACTATATACTTAAATTTAAATACCCATTTTCTAGAAATCGTGTCATACAACAGTCAAAGACGCCACAAAAAAAGTCAAAGCCACGATTTTTTTTTTCAAGAATAAAGCCACCCGATGTTGAAAACCCTAATCAGATTTAAACATTATTTTATACAGCCAGTCAAATTAAAAAAATAAAAAATCTAACTTTGACCTTATTTCTCGCTCAGAGAGTTATTTTTTCTTAATTTAATTATTATTATCAAAGTTTTATGGATGAAAATTTATGAAAAAGGATAAACAAAATTAGAGATAAAATCTTAAATTAAAATATATTAATTAGCCCTGCATTTGGTAGTAGAAGCAAAGATACGTGGAACTCTGGACTCTATTATCCACTACATTAATGGCGTGTTTGGTAATCAGTTATATTATATTGAACTTGACTTCAGTCCATTTTTCGATGTCGTTTGTGTTGGAATGCCAAAAGCTTCAATCGAAGGTGATTAGTGTTTTTCCAAACAGGCATTAATCTAGTTTAGGAGGGTAATTTGGTATTAATGTTAAGTATGTTTCAATTTCACCTCATTAAAATCTAATTTAATATTTTATGTTGTCTTAAAAAATATTTATTAATAACAAATATTTAATAAATAATATTCTTATGACATAATATTATATTTATAACAATACCATTTATTTAAAATATATATTCTACAATATATTAATTTAAATGTTATACTTGGGATTTAACTTTATAAAATGTTGAGGCTCTCTTTTTAAATTGAAAAGATAAATTGGATTTGTAAAATTTGTTTCAATTCATTTCTTGGTAACCCTATATAAAGAAAATTAACTATCTTTTTATTTAAATGAAAATTAATAGTCTAAATTATCATTAAAAAGAAATTGTTATATTTTTCTAGGTTTAGGAAAGACAAAAAAGAATAAATAATTTCAATCCAAGACACGTTGGCCACGGGCATTCAGGTATATGTGGACACCATCCTCGTAAGCTCCAAAAAATATCTGCAACCAAAACCAGAAAAAATTAACGTTGTAAAAAACAATAATAATTAAAAATCAAGTGTAAGAAATATTATTATTACATTATTTAATAAAAAAATAATAATAATATAAAAAAGGGGCTGCGTTGAACAATAAATAAAATAAATAAAGAAAAGTTGAAAAATAAAACTGGGAAGAAGAGTTCTCAGCCATAAAAAAGCGAAGCACATTGAGACATTGTTGTGTTTGTTGGGTTGACGCTCAGTGATGCTATCTTTCATGGCTTTCTCCGCGAATCTCTGCCGTGTGCCCACCTCACGCGCCGACATCGCTTTTCCGGAAACTCTCACCAGAATCCGGTGCCGGAAACCCTCCTCCATCCGATGCTCCGGCGACTCCCCTTCCGCGTCTGTGGGTTCCGAGTTCGACCCAAAGGTGTTTCGGAAGAACCTTACTCGGAGTAAGAATTATAACCGCAAAGGCTTTGGGTACAAGGAAGAAACCCTCCAACTCATGAGTCGCGAGTACACCAGTATGCTTCGTTGAATTGGGTTCATAATTAGTCTTTGACTTCTTCTTATGCGCTTTTGAATTGGATAGCATAAAAAAGCTTGGTACTTTCTTTCTGGGCATGTTTTCTTTCGGTTTAGAATGAGCGAGAGAGAGAAATTGGATAACATAAATTTGTTGTTCGTTGTAATATTGTTTTGGGTCGGTTTTCTTACGTTTCACGGAAATTTAACTCTTGGTTAGTTTTAAGGTGTTTTTATTGTTGGGAGTTAACTTAAAATATGCTGTTGAATTGCATGTCGTGTTTTGTTCATTTTTTGTAGTGATTTTGTCATGTGTGTACTAACATTTTGTAATTTTAGGTGACATCATTAAGACTTTGAAGGAAAATGGGAATGAGTATACATGGGGTACTGTCACAGTGAAGCTGGCTGAAGCCTATGGATTCTGCTGGGGAGTTGAGAGGGCTGTTCAAATTGCATATGAGGCCAGAAAACAGTTTCCTACTGAGACAATTTGGCTTACCAATGAAATCATCCACAATCCTACCGTTGCTAAGGTCCCTTCGGATTTCTTTTACCATCATCTATGCCGATTTTTTAATTGATACTTTGAAGTTATGCCATTCCGTTGAGGAAGTTGGTAAAAGTTGAGTCAGGACCTGAATTTGATTGATGGCTGATTGCGGCCCTTTTTCTTGTACATGCTGTTTTCTAATGTTAAAATTATTGATTCAGCGGCTAGAGGAGATGAAAGTGCAGAATATTCCTCTGGAAGAAGGTTCTAAACAATTTGATGTTGTCGACAGTGGTGATGTAGTCATATTGCCGGCTTTTGGAGCAGCAGTGGAGGAGATGTTGACTTTGAGCGAGAAAAATGTTAGGATAGTTGATACAACTTGCCCATGGGTTGCAAAGGTACACTTTGATGGTTTGATATTGTGCTGATTTGCATAACTTAAATTTTGTCATGCATCACCAAATACTGAGATTGTTTCTTCAATAAATTGTCTTTAAGGTATGGAATTCTGTTGAAAAGCACAAGCAAGGAGATTATACCTCTGTAATTCATGGTAAATATGCCCATGAGGAAACTGTGGCAACTGCTTCTTTTGCTGGCAAGTATATAATTGTGAAGAATATGTCAGAGGTCTGTCCTAAGTTGCTGCTATGCTCAATTTTTGGGTGGTGAATGCCTTGAAGAATTTGTTGTAACTTTTATATGACTCTTGCTTTATCCAGGCTGAATATGTTTGTGACTATATTCTCGGTGGTCAACTTAATGGATCCAGTTCAACCAAAGAAGCACTGTTAGAGGTATGCTTTTGTTATCATGTGATTAGTCTTGCTTTTTGAACCCTGTGGCTTTCACTATAATGATTATTTATTTATTTATGTGCAGAAATTTAAATTTGCTGTTTCCAAGGGATTTGATCCGGACAAGGACCTGATAAAATATGGCATCGCAAATCAGACAACAATGCTCAAGGGAGAGACAGAAGAGATTGGTTTGTATTTATTTTAGGGAGATTGTGGGTGTGGTGTAACTCATACATCTCTAACCATAAGTCCTTGTGGTATTTATTTTACTGATCATTTCTCAGGGAAACTACTAGAGAGGACTATGATGCAAAAATATGGTGTGGAGAACATCAATGAGCACTTCATGAGCTTCAACACAATTTGTGATGCTACACAGGTGGTTTCACTCCCCTGGTCTTTTGTGATTGAAATGCTTGTTAAGCCAAGCTTGTTACAAGTTATTTATGACGTAATTACGAGTCAATTTTGTATGCTTTCTGTCTATTCAACAGCTAAGTTTAATTTTCTTTCAGGAGCGACAAGATGCTATGTACAAACTTGTGGAGGAAGATTTGGATCTTATATTAGTAGTTGGTGGATGGAACTCTAGCAATACATCACACCTACAAGAGATAGCTGAGGAATATGGAATCCCTTCTTATTGGATTGACAGTGATCAAAGAATTGGTCCAGGAAACAAAATAGCATACAAGTTGAATGTAAGCATGGAAAAAGAGCTTTATACCTTGTCAATGTTATTAGCTCATTTTATCCTTATTGGTAATGACAATGTGTTTCTTGGACTATCAGCATGGTGAGCTAGTGGAGAAAGAAAACTGGTTGCCTGAGGGTCCAATAACAATTGGTGTAACATCTGGTGCATCCACTCCAGACAAGGTAATTGTAGCCTTTCATTCTTATCCATTTTTGTGATTTTCTCCAGCATAGCTCTGCTTCTTGTAAACTTTTAGTCAATGTAATTCGGCTCCCATTGCAAACTATCGTGCTATTTCCAATTCACATTGTTACTTTTCCATGAAGTAGCTGATACAAGTGGCCTGTCATATTTATTTAAAATTCTTATGATGTGCCGCTTTCAATTTTTGCTAGTATTCTATTCATTTCATTTAATATTATTTTGCATTATTGGTTCTTAAACAGGCTGTTGAAGATGCGCTCATCAAGGTTTTTGACTTGAAACGTAATGAAGCAATGCAATTTGTGTAGAGTAGGTCTGCATACATACTGTCAATGTATACATGAAACGAGGGATTTAATTCATAGGATTTGTTACAGCCACATGTATTGTTGAATTAATCAATAACAGAAGTTCATGAGCTCTTATAAATGTTGCCACGTTACCTCTATAAATTGTGGCTACAAAGAGGCATCTCTAATTATGCCCTTGTCACGGGAATGGCTTAGTAATACAAAAAAATTGAAAAAGACAAGTGGTTCATCTTGTACTCGCAATAGCAACCTGTACATTATGGACTAATCAAATTCAAATTTCAAATATTGCTTAGCCAGCGGAAGTCAAGCACTGAGAGCAAAGATTAATCTTTAGTTGTCAGTTTTGAAATCTTGTGTGAACACTATTTATGGATAAAAAAAAATTCAAATTCAACTTGATACACTTTTGAACTAAAACGTTGGGCTAAAATAATACAAGACATTCGAGTGTTGACTAATTTGGCCCTGTAACCAAACAAATACGGGAAATATACATGTATGATGAACTGAGTGTATATAGATAATGTCATGTAATGTAGCTATAAAAGTTTTCTTGAGTTCCGTTGGCTGATCAACCAACAGGGCACCTTATTGATGAAGTTTATGTATTTGTATGCCAAAGTACTTCAGCACTTCTATGTAGGTCTAATTTGGATAAAATTTGCAATAAAAGAAGAGAGAAAGAAGTGAAATGAATTAAACTTCTTCAACAAGATAAAATCAACCAAAGCATCCCGAACTTTTGAAAAAGTAATGAAAAACTTGTAAAAAGATAGAGATGCAAAAGTTGATTTCAATTTATAAGTTTGATTCACTTTTACTTTTTTGTTATCCTTTCTGTAAGTATTAATTGACAAATTTATCCAAATTGATCATAATAATCCACTAAAGTCGCAGTCATTCAACTGAAGAGCACTTTACCCATCTGGATAGTTCAAGCCATAAGCTAACCATTAATGCTATGCTTAGATAGAGTTGATTCAACAATTTCAGGGACCTTATCAAGTAAGCCGTTCATCTCCTCTGGAAACTCTATCTTTGCTCTGTTAGTCTTCCCTCCAACAAAGACTGTTGTCCCATCTTGTAAAGCCCATATCTGTCAGTTGACCAAGAAATAAATTAGCAGGTCAAGAATATGCAGTTTTCCAGTCCTAGTCGTATAAATCATGCTATTAGTTCAGAATGTATCTGCTACGTAGACATTGACATTTCTTTGAAAGGGAATTTTCAGATGATATAAAACAGTCATTATCACTTGTTTTTTCGTCCAAAAAACGCCAATATCACATGGAGAAAGAATGGACAGTGTCAAACGATGTTTAGAAGAAAAATCACCTGTGAATGAGATAAATAGCTGATGCAAGTAGTGATCATAAGAGCACCAAATCCAGCATATACAACTGGCACACCAGGGTCGGTCTGTATAAATAAAACAACAATTGATGACAAAGTTAAAACACCTAACTAACTGTTGAATGTTTGAAGTTTAAGGTGGCACCTTCAAGTCCAAGCCACTACTTCCTATTGCATCAACAATGACAATTTCCGAGCCATCAATATTGATTGGGAGCTTTGAATTAGGCCGTCTAACTCCCACAAATTTTCCCTCCGTATCATAAAGGACAATTGACTGCAGATCACGAGCAAGCATAGATCTGAAATTCAACACCACACAAGAAAGTAAGAGGGATGAGAAGAGCTAAAGATTGTATTTTGGTATCGCACCCAATTTTCAAAAACTTACATTCCCTTAACGTCAGGAGAGTTAATATTTCCAACTGGTAGAAAAGTACCAAAAAGTTTCTTATCTCCATTGATCTGTAAAGGTGCCATAGCTAAGTTATACGGTCCTTCATTGTCCTTAAGAATTTGCAGAGCCGATATACTCCAATCTGTCTGATAAATGGTGATACCACCATATCTTAAAGGATCATTTACACTGATTGTTTTCCTCATTACTTCTTTTCCATCCATGTTACGAAGGGAAAGGTCAGTGTGGAACTGTGAAACCTGTAACAAAAACCAAGAATCAACATTTTTACTGGCCTTTTCAGGCTGAAATTTCATGAATACACAACTGAGTGAATCGCAAATTTCAAGTTTTTTTTTTTTTTTGACAATTTCGTAGAAAACAAAGATTCTATTTACCTCTCCACTCTCATAATAATCCATGTAGAATCTGTTGACATGAATCTCTGTATTAAAAACCTCAGTTGGGGAGGAGAGAATGCCGGAAGGAGCCAGAACATCACCTACAATAAAATTCAGCCCCTGGGGCACATTGACTGAACCTCTGAAGCTCCCAGCAGCACTAACAGTTCCTCCAGCCATTATCAGTAGCAGTGCTATATGGACTCCAACAGGGGCCAACCGACCTGCAAGTCCTTTAAAGGCATATAAAGCTGGTCCTTTCAAGAATACCTATCATCCAAAATACACTTCATCAGCCCAAAAGTATTAAAGTTCAACGTTGGCCAATAACTATAAGAATGAAGTAATGTTCTATGGTTGTGAATATTGGGTTTTAAAGGGATAAAGAGCAAGAATGAGAATGTTAAGATAGATGTGTGAACAATCATATAAGATAAGATACAAAATGCTTGTGTATGATGAGGTATTGTTGTGGCATGATTGATGAAAGATGACAAAAAATCAGTTAATGTGGTTTTAACATGGCAAAGAAGATCACTAGTGACACTGGTGAAAAGATCCTATTGCATGTTTTTTTTTAGTATATGAAGAAGGAAACCTATAAAAAGACATTGAAGGGAACTGTTAAGAGAGATCTTATGATGAGTATATTATTGAGAATTTGGCCTGTAACTGAGTCCAATGAAATCATGTGATCAATGTAGCCATCTCACTAAGTAGAATATTGTTTCGTTGTTATTGTTGTTGGTTCATAAAGAATCATTCCTAAATGTGTGTCCCATAGAATGTTAGATTCTAAAGGATTTACGGAAAAGCAAAAAGTTGAACATGAGTTGTGGTACTACAACCTCGTATCCAGCTCCCATCAATATAGTACCGACATCTTGGATTGATGCTCTTGGCAATGATTCTGAAAATTCTTGCTTGCGTATGGCCTCAGCAGAATGCAAAAATGACCATCTATGAAACAATTTAGGCCTTCAGTGGAAGAGAAAATTTCCAACTCAGGCATTATGGATAATGAAAAGAGAAACAAACCTTCTTGAAACCGTAATGAGGGGGAGTTGAGTTGTGTATGTGCAGGCCATGAGGGATGCACCCAGGAGAGCCAATACTCCAAGAAATACAGGGGATGAAAACATGTGATCAAAACCAAGGGCGAGAATCCATCTCCAAGTAAAAAATCCAAACACAGGGTGATCTTCAGGGTATTTCTGGATATAAAAGTCAGGGGTTTCACCTTGTTCAATAATTGTTCCTGGCATAGACGGATAAGTTGAAGTCATTGTGATCATATTAAAGCACATTTTGCAGTCACAAAAGTGCTGCATGGAAAGTCAAAATAGAATCCCTTTAGCCATAATAAGATCACCCAAAAATATCCATTGTCTCTAAAAGGATTGTATTGTTAATCTACTAGAATACACTTAGTCATGAAAAGTTAGGATAGTTCACTCAAAGTTCCTTATTCTTGTTGCAATTACCATTGCAAGAGAGAGAGAGAGAGTGAGAGAGGAAGAATTGCATTGTCAATTAAGGAATACTCCTAATTCAAGTATCTAAAAACAGTCAATTGAATTAGTGAATGAAATATAGAAAGGATTTGAAAGAGAATTGAGAAAACCAATAATCAAGTTTCTTCTAGGAATTGTCTTTAATCAATAGCTTATACACAAGGTCTCACTCAACTACTTCACTTTAAATATAATAAGAATAATTTAAAATAACAATAAAATTACCGAGTAATATATTGTTTTTAACTAAATTTAATTAATTTTCTTTTTTAAAAAGTATGAATTAGTTAAAAATATTTTTATACATAGGGACAAAGGATTATAAACCATTATTATTATAAATTATGTTCCATTATTTACTTATAAGGGATTATAAATAAATTACTATCATTATAAATTACTTTTTACTACTTACGTACAAGAATACAACCTCATTTTTTTTTTATCAAAATTAATTCAGAAAAAGAACAATTTTCATTGTTGGTTTAAGATAAAAAAATGTTGTTCTCTCTATATTTTACATAAATGTTTCATGCAGTTTTATTGAATATAATCATGCAGTTTTATTGAATATAAATACTTTAAGGCGTTTTCACCAACACATATGTATGAAATATCTGAAAGTATGATAAAATGATTTATGCAAAAAAGTATTTGTAAAGGAGAAGTGAAGAGTAGAAAGAAGATGAAAAAGTTGAACAATTTCATACCCAAAGCCATCAAAGCAGCAGCAGCAAACATGTCCCCAATAGCCAATGGCAAGCTAGAAAGAATCTGTAAACTCTTTCTTCGCAACATCTTCAGCACCCCAAAAGGGCCTCCCTTTTTTTTCTTCGAGCTTTCTGGATCATCCCCACTCTCACCATTGCTGCCATCAACCTCATTCAGTGGTGGAGGGGAAGCTTCTGACAAGACAATCTTCTGGGACACGCTCTTCCCTTTGTTTTTCACGTCTTGAGAGCTTTCCAGCTTGCAGCTGATGGTGAATGGAAGATTGTGAGCTCTCTTTGTAGCATGGCCATGGGTGCCGTAGGAGTGTGAAAATGGGTTGAATTTGAAAAAGGGGTGAAAGATAGGGACTTTGAGGAAATGGGTTTTGGGAAGACATGGATTTGTGGAGTTTATGGCACCCAAAGCCTTCATCGATCCGAAGTTTGGGAACGCTGTGGGTTAGCTCTCTGTGTCGCCCATAACGACCACGCCAGTTACTTTATCCAAATACTAGATATTTTAATATAATACGTAATATAATACAGGAACTCAAATTTTGTTATTATTGAGGTTGATTGTCTTTTTTTATCGTAAAAAACACCTTCTTTTCTTAATCTAATTTTTTTTTTTAAATATGCTTTTCAAATATAAATAGGTTTTGATTATAAGTTTATATAACTATAAATATTCAAATCATATAAAAGTTTACGTAATTAATATATATCATAGATTTAATGGTACAATGAGTATAAGTGTTCGATTTGATTCATAGATTCAATGATTTACGTAATTCCCTCGTTTGTTTGATTTGATTTTGTTTTTCAGTTTTAAAAAATTGTTTTTGAAAATAAATTAAAAAAATCAAAAGTTTAAATTGACTTTTATTTAAGATCTGCTTTATATAATAGAAGAATATTATATTAATAAAAGTTCTACAAAATTGAAAGATAGTTTCCATAATTTGGTGATAACAAAGTTATGTAATATTATTACTAATAAAAATACCTATATCATTAATAAAAATTGAACATATATTTAATTAATTTTAATTTTAAAAAATAAAAAATATTTTAATAAAATAGTTACTCAACAAAGTTTTTAATTTTTAAAAATTATATTTATTTCTGAAAATTTTAAAGATTTTAACCACTTTAATTACGAACATTTTGAAATTATTATTTAAGATGGGGTTGAAAACAAATACTTTTAAAAATCAAATTTATAACTGATTAGTCTTGTAGGCTCTTTCCTTAGGAAAAAAAGTGTGAAGAAAATAAAATAAAATAATATATATTTGTTTATGGAAAAAATAACATAAAGTAAATAAAAATTATTATTTAATTATAATTTAATATTTGTATAAATACAAATTTACTTGTATAATTATATTTAGGTTGTTAGAATATTTATTAATGAAAAATAATTTTATAGAATCACATTTTTTTTACATTTTCCATCTTTTTCCATTTATATATATGAACAAAAAGTAAATATATCCATTCTTTGTAACTTTTCTTGTTATAGAACAAGAAAAATTATTAATTTTCACTCATTTTCCTGCATGATTACTTTTTACTCTACATTTTCCGTACTAACACTTAAAAAAAATTATCACTTAACAGTAATACGTAAAATACAGTGCTATATAAAATTATAATTAAGTAAAATAGATAACTTCTTGTACTGAAGGGAAAAAAAAACTAAAGCCAGTAAATGATAATTATAAGAAATAACTATTAAAATGATGAACAGTACAATCTTACAAATTTAATCATATTTTTTTAAAAATACAACCTTACATAATAAAATAAAGTGTTCAATATTGAAAATAATAATTTTTATACATTTTTTTCTTTATCTTAATCAGCACTTTTTTTTTCAAATTAGAAAAAAAAACATTTGGATACATTATTATTTGATTATTATAAATTGTCTTTTCCATTTTTTATTCAATACTAATTGTCTTTAATCAATCGCAACAATTAGAAATTATCATTGAAACAGTCTTCTATTCTTAAAAAAATTTGACTTTAAACATTTTTATTTTATATTTTATAAACAAATGAAGTATTAAATAAAATTATTTGGATAACCTAATATTAAAGCAAATGACAGAAAGAGACCACACTGATACCTCAATTGGCTTACACAGTATATCTGATAAACATGTCATGGGTTTTCAACTACAATTGTCTCAGTAGGGAGGCATGGTGGAAATCTGTATTTGTGATTCACTTCGAATATATCTTCTGTCAATGAATCTTCTAAAATGCAACTGTCAGCTGTTTTTGTAAGTTAGAAACAACTGCACAACCATTAGCTGAAAGGTGTCAGTTTTACACTCTAAACAATAGATACACTGGTTGATGACATCCTTTTAGTACAAAACATAATACTGCGAAAACAGAATATGCAAATTATCAGCTTAAATAATTAACCATTATCATTCCTATGCATGACTACGATAATGTGTTCTAAGAGGTGCGTGCCCCCAGGGGCAGAAACTAACGAGGAAGTTTGATAATTTAATTCTGGTTGTGAAGTTTATTGGGTCTGAAACTGTTATTAAAAACGAAATATTATACAAACTTAGCCCAATTGACGCTGCCCGCTTTTCTAATACTTGGTCTGATGTTAATGATTTTATCCCTGGCCAAACTTTCATTCCATTTTCCTACCAAGTTCCAGTACTTCTAATGATGGATGTTGATGGACAAGTAGATAATGAAACTACTACAATATACATAACTGTACCAAATTGAATTTTGAGTAAAATAGAAAATCCAATATATAAGCGACAGAAGTTGGAAAGGATTTAGAAATCTGTACACTGCATAATTTCTTTCCGTATGCAAAGAATTCTAGACAAGATCCTTTGACCCTCACCCCCTAACAAGAACAACAAAAAAGGAACCCTGTGAGAAAGTGTCTGATTATGCCTGAATAATATATATTCCTCCTTTAACTTCATTTTATTTAGAGAAGTGGAACACCAAATCAGCTCTGCGTTGTTAACAGCTCAATGTCAGATCCGACTTCAGCAATCTTGGCATCCTTAGAACCCTTGGCTGCTTTTGCAATGTTCAAAACATCAAAATCCAGAGCTATTTTTCTGACAAGACCCTCAAGCATCTGTTTGAAGAAGATTAGACAAATAAAAATTGAGTGAAGCAATTCAGAGGTAGATATGCTTCAAAACACATGAATTGCGTCACATTTTGTAGAATAATTACGGTTCATTATTAGTTCTACCAGATTCATGGATAGTTTGCATATATTACTATTTTACACGCAAAGAAAGATGTAAATTGATATAATTGTTTATTTATGATTTTGGAATAAACAAAGTGTTATTTTGATTTTAGAACTTCAGTATAAAGTAACAGAATGACATTAAGTCATGTCTTATTCAAGCAAATCCTGTGTACTGAGACACAGGTATTCGACTGACTAGGATATGAAACTCAAACCAGCAGCCAAAACAATTTGTAAATAGGTTGAGTAATAAAGATTGATCATCAGATTTCACAATAAGTAAATTGTAACGAATAATAAAAAATCATGCAGTCACATAAAGTTGAGACACAAATGCAGACTAGCTTGATTTTCATAGTCCATACAGCAACAACAACAAGAAAAGTCTTATCCCATTACCCAGATTAGCTTGACTTCCATAATCCATAAAAAACTTAAAAAATAGAACTTATGCACAAATACTAGATTTGGATAATCAGTCTTCACAAATAGAACTTATGAAACAATAGACAACGGATGTATACTAGATTTGGATAATCAGTCTTCACAGACGCATATATTAACAAACATGCAAAACTGTATTTAAATGGCATTGAGATGTAACATGCAAAACAGTTTTCCTTATATAAAGACCAAAGAGAATTTATGTATTATCAAACACAAGACACGAGATAGAAACTTAAATTTACCAGAGATCCAACAGCAACTAAAGCACGAAATTTGGAATCAACTTCTACATTTTCATCCTCAGCAAGCTGCACAAAAATAAAATGCATAGTTTAGAAATAACAACATCTAAAAGTAGGATATTTAATTTTGATCATCCAGACACGTACAAATGTAAAGCACCAATGCTTGGTCATTTTTTTTTTTTTCAAATGTGGAGAAGCATTGGATTTGAAGGTTTAGTATGATAAAAAATTAGAATTGTTTGGGGTAGAAATTCGCACTATTTAGATATCATATTGATGGGGATGCCACACAACATATGATTCAAGCTCAGTGGATGACATGAACGAATGTTTAAGGTATATCATTGTAGTGGCAAAGTCTCACAAATCTTAAATGAAAATTCTACAATACAAGTAAATAGATCCAAAGATTCTCCTACAAGCACAAGTATCTATTGAGGAGGACGCAAAGATTCTCCTACAAGTGGTTCGATCATATGGGAGAGGAGGAGATGGCAGAAGGTAATCATATTAACAAGAGTAGAAGCCTAGAAGGAATTCTAAAAAAAAAGGAGGAACAATTTAAAAGACCTTGTCCTAAATGAATTGATTGAAATTTTGTTTTTTGACAGAGACTAAAGGAATTGATTAAGTCAAATTTCCCTAGTAGGATAAGGTTTGGGGACGCAGTGGTGATTGTCATAGCTATGTAAAAACATAAGACATACCTCAAGAGCTGCTGATAGAACTTGAGATTGACCTTCTTGATCCTTTGATTCAATCAATAGCACAGCATAACTACGAGAATCACAAAAGTAAAGGTTATTGCATACTCACATTCTGGATCATTAATACTGCAATGATGAACAGTGAATACAGATCTAAATACGTAAAAGCCACCACCACTTTTTGTGTCTACACTATTGCTTTATGCAGCAGGGTGGTGAATTAAGTATAGTGACACACCAAGCACAAAAAAATCCAGATGCTCTTAAAATTGCCCTCCCTTCTTCCAGATTTTCACCCAATAAGATAAAAAGAATTCATTTATTCTTTCTTTTATTTTCTTGGAGTGGGGAAGGGGGTATTAAAAAACCAGAAAGCACTGAAGCACTTCAGCACTGAAGCACTTCTGCACCTGAACCCGGAGACTGTATCTTCTATTTGGAATTAACACAACCAAGAGAGAGACAACTTCCAAAAGCTAAACAATCAAATTATACAGTATCAATGCAAAAGATAATAGAAGAATTATGCGAGCCAAATAAACAATAATTAGTCATATATTGGGGTTTTCCCCAAACAATGAGCAGTACCTTACAGTCAAGAAAAGACTGGAATAGTTGAACCAAAAAAGGACTTACTTTAGTAACAAGGTAGAGTATGCCAACTGCAAATTTTTGTTTGGAGATGAACTACAACATGAGAAAGCATCAAGTACCTGCCCAAGAAAAAGATGAACAAAGTTTTATAATCCTTCAGAATGAAATTGTTTTAAACAAAAAT